TCTGTAATTTCAGATAGCAGCAGCACCAGAGAAAAGTTAGTCTCCATGAAAAAAGGCACTTGGCCAAAAGTACTTTTTCACCACATGATGTAGCCCCATTTTGGTCTCAGATGCCCCTTTGTAGCCCCCATGAAAAGAGGCAGATTGATCTGTGTTTGGTGTTGGAGTCTGAGTCACATCATTTGTTAATGAATTTGTAATCTTACAACATAGAGGAAAATGTATTCTGGCTCACGCTGCAGATGTGAGTGCTGTGGGTTCCTTAGGTCATGTGTGGGCCAAAACAGGGGGGTTACACTAAGGCTAATAGAAATGAACATGACTCCTGGCCAGACTCCTCCCTATCCCCTCTTCCCCCCACAAACCTTTATTCTCTTGACTCATGGTATTCTCCACAGCAGAATAGCTTCCAACAGATGGGGAGACAAATATCTACTAATGTGACAGTCACACTGGAAATAATAACACTTAAAGCACAATTGCAAAATCAGGGGCAATCTCTGGGAAAATCAAGTCCTATTTGCACCCCAGGACAGATACCATCTTGCTTTGGGGAAACATTTTCCAGACAGTTTAGAGGGAACCAGTTTCCCTTCTTTCTCAGCCCATAAAGCTGAAATTTCTGAAAATAGTGAGCAGCTGCCAGGGTTGAAGGAAGGCAGAGACATTAGCAAGAATTCAGTGGGTGTGAGGGGTTTGCACTTGCAGGCTTCTGGGACATGTAAAATGGTTATTCCTCTGCTACCGCCCCCCACCCCTCCAGCTTGCCTTCTAGGTGGCTTTCAGTATGATGTGCTGTATCACAGCCCAGACCAGGAAATTCTTTACCAAGGATTCCATGGTGGAGGCAGGCTGGATTAGTGGTAGAGGTACTGCCCTAGTATTTGGGTAAACCCAGGCTCACTTCCCTGGCAGTGACATCCAATGTGACCTTGAGCAAATCACTTAGCCTTCCTGTGTGGCACCCATGAAGAGAGCAGGCCCCTCACGGTTTCCCCCAAAACCCTTGTCATCTGCAGTTCCTCTGATGCCAGTGTTGCCCAGCAGATACCGAGTGACTGAATGGGATGGAAACACAGTCTGCCCTTCTGTTCGCCTTCAAGCCCACAGACACTGTCTGCCACTGCACAGGGCTCACAGGTGACTCAGTTAGAGGAGCATCAAGGTTATCATTGACAAATATATCACATAGGCAGTACAGAAACTGCCTCTCTGGCCCACATATCCTGACTCTGCTGGCAGCCAAGACCAGCTGCTTTAAAGAAAGGTACAGGGAACAGCCTCCTGGCTGTCTGTCCCTGCATGAGCTTGATAAACCTCTGACTGCTGGTGGAATATTGGGCCTGGTACTTTCACTGAAGCAGCTCCTACATTTCCGGTCAGGGTTCAGTCCCCTCCAATGGCCTAGCTATTGCACCATGGCAGGTGGTAATCCAAACAGGGGTTTGTGTCTCTGAAGCTTGAGATAACCCTGGGTGGGAGGAGAGAGCATACAGCTTTTCATATCATACTGCATATGGCTGTGATCTGACTACTGAAGCATGCATAAGTGCCTATGAGTCTGCAGGCACCACTAAAGGTATAAGCATACTTTGCCAAATGAAGTGGATTTGCTGCTCCAGGATGTGTTCTGGCACTGATCATTGGGTAAAACATGGGTCACCTGTTTTCCTGCCCATTGATTATGTAGGACAATGAGTGACATGTTCCCCACTTACAGAGATGTGCCCTGGAGTTTTGTTTTTGTGTTTTTAATTATTCTTCCTGAGATGCAGCAGCTTGCATTTATCTGCATTGGACTTCATCTTGCTAGCTTCAGCCCAGTCTTCTTATCTATCAAGATCCTTCTGAATTATACTCCTGTCCTCCAGTGTGTTGGCAATCCTTCCCAGTTTTGTGATGTCTGCAAGTTTGCACAAGAAATCCTCTATTCCAGCATCTAAATAATTAATAAACCCATTGAACAGCACTGGGTCCACGGCAGACTTCTGTGGTACTTCACTCAAAACCTCCTGCCATTCTGATAGGGATCCATGTATAATTACCCTTTGCCTGTGGCTATCAAACCAGTTTTCTATCCACCTTATAATAATTTTGTCTTGCCTACATTTCTGTGGTTTGTTTATAAGAAGGTCATGTAGGACCTTGCCAAAAAACTTGTTGAAGTCCAAATACATTGTATCCACAGCAGTCCCCTTATCCATCCAAGTAGTTACTTTGTCAAAGATGAAGCTCAGGACCTAGGTGTCTGTTGTTTCCATTGCTGGGTCATCTTAGTCGGGAAGCTTCACAGTGTGTTCTTTGTAATATTTATGCTGTCTGTCATGCGGTTTGCACTTCCCTGAAATTCTCCTCCTTCCTTGGAGTGCCTTAAGGCCAAAACATAAGTTTTAGGCAGGCTTCAGCCTATCTGTATGAGCACTCCCTGGTTGGTTAAAGCAGAGCTGTCCAACTGGAGGTTCAGGTGTTGCACGCCTTGCACAAAAGGTTAAATTGCAGCCTTCAGGGTTTGCCAGCCATGGACAAACCCAGAACCCAGGGGGTAAGTGGCAGTGGTGTTCACCCCCTGGGTTCCAGAGCCATGCCAATGCTGTAACTCTGGCAGCCACACCAACAAGGCACATCCCACTGCCAGAGTTAGATTGTCCAAACCACAAAAAGCCCTACAGTTGAAATCTGTCTCACGGGGCTAAATAAGTTGGACAGCCATGAGTTAAAAGTGAACCTAGGGTTTTCATGTGCACCAGCCAATGAAAACCGTATGAAGTCCTTTGTCTTGCAAACTGCTCTGGGCAGTTGGGGGTGCATGGTAGAGCAACTTGCCAGCTTGGAACCATGATTTCTGCAGGAGTTAGCTCCTGATTCCAGCACTGATTTAGTTGACTCTGATATTTTCTTGGTATGGTATTTCTCACACAGGTTTTTATTTTTCCCCTCCAGGACAATGAGAACTGTTACTCCAGCGTGACCTGTATTTCCAAGTCACTAGCGAATAACACTGCAGGAGGAAGGGGGGGAAAAAAAGAAAAAGAAAAAGCAATATGGATGGTTTAATTGAACAGAACAGTGTGCTAATGCAAAGTAAAATCGGTGAAGCTGGGAAAAGGAATGGCTTAATTAACACAAGGAACTTAGTGGCAGAGAACAGAGATGGCCTTGTCTCTGTGTACCCAACCCCACAGTATCAGAGCCGCAGAGCAGGAAACCTGCCTCCTCAGGGCTGCCTGGAGAATGGAAAGAATGACTCCGTGCAGCAGCTGCTTGACCCCAACACGCTGCAGCAGACTGTGGAGTCCCACTACCGTCCCAACATCATCTTGTACTCAGAGAACATGCTGCGGGCATGGGGGGACAGCGTGAATGCTGAATGCTGCGAGACCACCTTCATTGAGGACCGCTCACCCACCAAGGACAGCTTGGAGTATCCTGACAGCAAGTTCATTGACCTCTCAGGTGATGACATCAAGATCCATACCCTCTCCTATGACGTGGAGGAGGAGGAGGATTTTCAGGAGCTGGAGGTTAGATTCTACCTGTTGCCTGACATGGCTCTGATTTGAGTGGGGTGGAAGGAGATGGCTTGGGGATGATGTGGGGAGCTCATGATGCCACCTTCAAACACTGGTGTGGGCAGTACTAGTTAATGTCTGTGGCCCTGATCCAGCAAGGCAGCAGAGCCTTTTATCTCATCAGATGAGGTCCTTGATCTATTCAAGCCAACGGGCAAAATTCCAGTTGACTTCATGGGGGTGTGGATATCACCTTGGACTTCAACAAAGCTACTCATATACTTCCAGGGTCACACATGCTATGCTGGATCAGGGCCAGGACTAGCTAGCATTCTCCAAACCTCTTTTCACTACTATCTGCCCCAATGAGCATGTCAAAATGAGCCACTGTTATGTCATGAGTCAAATTGCAAATGACTGGTATTTGCTGGACAGATTATAGCATTTCATTCTGTTTACCCCAAAGCAAACCAGAATTCATCATGTTTCATTTAGACAAAGTTGAAATGAAGCTTTTTGAACCTTCCTGATTTTTAGCCTTTTGTGGGTAAACTGTGGGTGGCCAACCTTTTCACAAAATCATGAATAACTTCTATGGACCTAAACCTGCATTTTTTTTGCTACGTAATATAGTCAACTGAAATATGGTGCCAAGTTCTCCTCATGAGCTCTTAACGTACCAAAGATCTAAGGTGATATGTTGAATGAACATACAACTTTAGCCTGACATAATCTAGGCAAAACTTAGAAAGCTAAATATCCCCTTGTGCATTTCTTCCACAAGTGGACTTCTAAAAAATGGTCAGACATAGAGGTTTGCACCTCTTGTGAAGAGATAGTGCTATGCTGTGATTGACTCAGATACCACAACAAAAAGTAGATTTTTTTTTCTGGGCTCTCTCTGCATCAGGAAGACAGAAAAGAGAAGTTTGTCCTATAGTTTCATGTCTGTGGTATCACATTTTATCTCCACAAAAGGAGAGAAGTTGTCTGGTTGATGCAAGTTTCATAGTTTCATAGTTGGTAGGGTTGGAGGGGACCTGA